TGTAGATATATTTAATGATGTCTTTGGCCTGTAGGCAGCTGATGAGAAGGCAACGAAATAAACACCGATGGTACCACTTTATCCCGCAAAAACTGTAGTTCTTGCTTTGTTCAAATTATGCATAACAGTTGGCAGATGATCTAATTCATTTACCCATCCCACTTGACGACTACCATACTTCTATTTCGCTAACCAAGACAGCTAGCTGTATTCTGATAATCTCGGAAGATGATGAAGAACACCACGATGTATGTCAGTGTAGAGAATTAGCGGATGTAATAGTCAGATTTTCGTAAACCGTTTACTAGCTATTTAGTCTTGTCTTCGTAAGAAATAGCAGGATAGAACTATGTAACTAACTTCAAGCTACGCGAGTTAATTTAGCCTAAACATGTTTTATTACTATTATTTCCTTTAATTTTGCTTGGGATGGACAAGAGCATAATTCCGCGCCAGTTCTTGTATTGACTTAAGTCTAAACATGTAGGCCATTCTACTTAAACTTGTAACTTTATTTCACACAACCAATCTTCTTCGTTTAACACACCAGTTTTCAAGTTATGTAAATGCTTAGTATGATTTTAAAATAAATTAGCAACCCGAAAGTGTTCTGATTAAGAGAAACTGATGAAATTTTCTCAAAATATCTCTCTGTCAAGTGTATACCATTCAATACAGATATGTGGTTAAAGAAAAGGTCAAATCTGGCTAGTAAGTAAGTTAGTTAGTTAGTCATTCAGTTTGTGTTCTATTTGATAGTAAGGCTTACACAACCAACTTACTTGCCTTCTTGCATTGTTTAATTCTGTGTGCAATACTATTTTGTTGATTTTATTTACATTTCAATTTTGAACTCGAAATTATTCACAAGTAAAATCTGAATAAATTACTATTTTCAAGAATCGCTTTTTGAAGGATTCTATTTGCTTCAGGTTAGATCACGGATTGATATTTAGTGACAGTACCATTGAAAACCAATTGGGAGTACTAAAGTAGTTGTTTCATCCTAGTTTGGGACTGATCAGCATTCGTACACAGTGAGTTTCGAACCCAGGACCTTCAGGCTACATGGCAAGCTAGCTGGTATACCATTCAGCCACTGCCGATGAGTCCTAAACTGGAATGAAACAAATGTCCAGTACTTTCTGTTGGCTTTCAGTAGTTCTTTCACTGATATTGATCCGCGGTCTAACCTGAAGCAAGTAGAAGCCCTAAAAATTAATTCTTGAAAACTAAGCTGATGCTCGCTAGGGACTGGCTAAAGGACGAAGTTGCCTGGAGTAAGTTCTAGTAAGAAGTCGCGACCAGTGGGGTCCATCCGGTCGACAGTGAGGATAGAGTTCCCGCCGATGACACTGGTTGGTGGTAGCGATAAAATCATAAATTGGCAGAAGCTGGAATTCATGGGTTGGCCACTGAATCAGGTCCAAAGGGCTTGCTTAATGATCTACGAGCTGGCTTGCCTTGAAACCGGAAGGTCCTGGATTCGAAATCCAGTGTGTGCGTACTGACGATGAGTCCTCAACTAGGATGAAACAGCTGTCCGGTACTTCCTGTTGGTTTTCAAAGGTTCTCTCACTGATGTTAGTCAGTGGTCAAACTCAAAAAACAAACTTCAAACTTCACTGTGCTTATACCAGTTTACTTGCTCTTGGGGAGCTGAGTATATCGGCCGTATAATGCGCCAACTTGAAAAACGCGCTCGTGAATACTATCCAGCCTGGCTAGTAAAAGCAGAACGAAAACGCGTATATAGTTCAGTGATAGAACATCTGGTCAATTCAGGACATTCAGTGCCATTCGAAAAATCCTTCAAAATAATATACAAGATTCGATCAAACCTATCAAAGGGATCAAAATTAAGATATCCGGGCATAGCCCAGGCACTAGCTATCCAAAAGCTCAAACCCACGCTTCGCATCCAAAAGAAATGCATCCAACCCTTGTTCCTGCCGTGGCCATCATAAATAGGTAATTCATCTAAGGGTGACTATTCCGTTGACTTTCCTATCCAAACTTCCTGTTTATTCATCTTATTTTCAAGTTTTTCTTAATCCCTATTTACACTACCATATATTCATATTTGAACTTCCTGTCTATTTCGTTATTTTATTATTTCTACATATATAATCCCTAACTGCATAAGCACTTATTCGTCACGTTAGTTATGATCTTAGTAGATTTTTTATCCAAACATACTGTCTATTGTTGTTGTTTCTGCATTTCTAACCCCCAGTCGCACAACATGTCAATCTTCTCAGTAATTATGATGCTACTTTGTCTGAGCTTAATCATTCCCCTGTTTATTATCACATTTTAGTTCTTATTTGTAATTTTATTAATCTAACCTATAATCTAATTATTCTGGAACTTTCCTTCCCATCTACTATATAAATACACGAATGTACAGCCTTGTCGTTGATGATTTCATTGAAAAGGAAATTTTCTTCGCTGCAACTGTCTTTTTATTCCCTATGATCAATATAATAAGGGGAACCGGTTGTATGGAAAGCGATATTTCCTGTGTCGAACATTAGTAATGGTGTTTTACTAACTCGAAATGACAACATATCACCTATTTACTGCTCACGTTGTAGTTTACTGACCAAGTGAGTTAGGTTGAGTACTCACTTCAGCCTAGCGCCTATAACTATTGGTGAATAATCTTCAAATAATTTTGTTTTAGTGAAAACCTTTGATTTCTAAAGTGGAAATACATTTCTTCCTCACCACTGCTACATACGAGTACTTTCTTTAAAAAAAGGAGTCATTAACTTATGAGTTGTGTTCATGTTTACTATTTTACTATTGTGTTCAAGATTATTATCATTATTATTATTATTATTACCTTTCCATTGTGTTCCGAGTGGAACGAACATAGGGCTTCAGCAGTACATCTTCCTTTTTTCCGGTTCTCTATAGTCTTTTTCACTTGATTTCACCATTATTCACAGGCTCTCAGCTCCTCCTTACACAACTTTCTCAATGTTACCCTTGGACTAACGCTAAAATCGTCGTATCTCATTTAGTTTCCACTAGAGAATCAGCCTGACGCGTTTCTCCACTCAACAGTCTCCTTAGCGTATAACCGATCCATCCCCACTTTAAATGCTTTCAGTGACTAACTGTCTGTCTTGCTTTTCCGACTGTGTCTTTAATGTCATCATCCATGTCTCCTGTATTTGGAACGACACTGCCTACAAAGGTGAAATAGCTGAGCTCGTTCAGATTTCTCTCCTTGATAGGGATTGGTGCTTGATGTTGCTTTTTTCGTTGATGGTGAGATATCTTCATCACCCCTCCACCCTCGGAACCGGCCTCTTTTGATAACCTTTTGGTTTTCACATGTTAATCTTCAAGTTTGTATGACATTAGACATAAATAATTCGGAAACAGAAAGATTGAGCGAAGAAATATTTACTTTTCGATTAGATCCTCATCTTTGGCTCTACTCTAATATATATAGCATTTTAATTACAATATAACAGTTTGCCAATCAAGTGGCGATAAGTTTGTTAACAATAATTAAACAGTGTCAATGGGTTAATAGTTAACGAAGAAAATCAATACAGATTTAAAAAGTGGAAATGGATAGAATAAATTAATTTTACAAGAATAACACGTAAATTAAAGATAAAGTGGTCAAAATAAATAAAATAAATAATCTAGACAAATAACAATAAAATAATAAATAAATAATTCGTACTGTCCAGATCTTCCAGTGTCCTCTTGTCGGTTCACTGTATGTCATTCTTCTCTCTCTCCCTCTCTCTCTACTCGCAGTCTGTTCTATAATCCAGTCTACCAGAATCAGGAATATTATTCGTTATATTAGGTGCCTCTACTGTCTTCAATGATTTTCCTTATTGCAGTAGATTTGATAATGCGACAGACAGCATGCAACGAGGAAACAGTTATAAAATGGACCCACAAAAAAAAGAACTTGGAGGATCTGGACTTCGCCGATGATATATGTCTGATTTCCCACAAACTGAAAGATATGCAAGTGAAAAGCAACAAGTTGGCAGAAGAAGCATCCAGAGAAGATACGATTTCAGGCGAACACAGAGAAAACAGTTGTGGTGATGAAGATTCCTGGCCAACACCAGCAGCAACACCAGCAATAACAACAACAACAGACAACAATCAGCCAGCATAAATGGGAGGAACCTGAAAGAAACAGCCTCCTTTACCTACCTACCTAACGGCCTGGAAAGCATCGTTTCAACTACTGGCGGACGGAACTGATGAGGATATCAAAGCAGCGAGAATCAGGAAAGGAAGACAAGCTTTCATTACTGTCAAGTCTGTGTGGAGGTCAACAGAACTGCTCAGCATGCAAATGAAAATTAGATCCGGATTTTCAACTCCAATGTGAAGTCAGTGCTACTTGTCACACGTATCTGAGACTTGCACTGCGCGTCACGAAGGCCACTTCGAACAAACTACACACCTTCTTCAACAGCTGTCTTCACCCTATGCTACCCAAGATCAAATGACAAGCCAGAAAAGATCCGCAGTAGTGGGAGGGATCTCTGGCAATGAACAAATCAACCCAGCAGGAACCGATTGTGCAACAAATCAGCAGACAGAAATCGAGATGGATTGGCCATACTCTGAGGAAACAAACCATCAAGTGACATGGCTAGACAAGCCATTGCTCGAGTGGAACCCGAAAGGGAAGCGAGTGGCGAGTTGGTCGTCAGCTCGAGGGTGGGGTGACATGGAGGAGGAGGTGATGTGAAGAGGAGATGAAAGCATGTGGGTGGCAGTCTTGGAGCCAGGTGAAAATGTTGGCAGAGAACCGAACGCAATGGAGACGATGGGCTGAAACCCTATGTTCCTCTGTTTTATAATCCCGTGTATAGCTCTAGTTTCCAGCATATTATGTCATTTCTACAATCACTTTTGTAGTAATTCATTGGATTTTTCAGGTTTATTTGCTTTTAGAAGTTTGTTTCGCTTAAAAGGATTAAAGGAAGCATCAAAGGGTAACATTTAGATTGTTTGTGTTGCGTGAAATACTATAGGCACTGATTAAATTCATATCTATATGAGGTCAATCTATACTAGAGATTAACTCAGACTGCTTATTTTATGAATAGCATTATAAAATACGTCATATTTGGAGGTACCTAATAGCAGATATTGTGTCAGTGGTACGGTGGTAGAATGCCCGACAACCATCCTTGTGGTCTAGGGTCCCATCCTCAGCCCACGCACTCTTAAACTTGGCTAAGCAGGTAATAAGAGTGGTAAAGAGGGAAGGCTGGGAGGCGCCTAGCAACCTCACCACGTTAAAACAAGACACCAGTGTTACCGAAACTTCAAGCCTTTGGCTTGAAGCCCTTTGTTCTACTAGGAAAGTAAAGGAATTGAAATAATAATGTCAAATAATTACTTCCACTTCTTCATGAATATATATATATATATAGGTTCCTTTGCGTCCCGAGCGGAATATAAAGATGCAAGCTTAATCTTTGAGGTTTCAGCAGCGGTGATGTTTTACGAGGTGGGGGTTGCTAGCCTCAGGCTCAACTTTTCCGCTTTACTGGGCTACTACCGGTTTGGCGAGGTCTAGGAGAGCATCGATCAAGAATCGAACTATAATCACACGCATGACTGGTGGGTATTCCACCAATTGTATCATACACCTTCAAAAGCTCGATCAATCGTAAATACTAACAGACGCCATCTGTCTGTCAGTCGTTACCAGCAGTGTCACTACAACAATAGGAACGTCAAAATGAAAAGTCCCTTAAGAACAAGGAACAATTATCAAGGAACGAACGCAACATAACATTTATTTAACAATATTGAACATAAGATCAACAACTCATATGTATATTTTTGTCTATCTGTAAATTAACTAATCTCGTAAACAACAATTATTTCAATCTTCATTTGTTTTTCAGTTCCAGGTTCACCTATAGATACAGCTGTGAATATTTATTTTGTATATGTGTGTGCAGGAGATTGTATTAACTGTGCACTCGTGCGTGCGTGCGTGTGTATGTGTGCCTGTGTGTGTTTGCGTGTAAGTGAGTGAGTGTGAACGTGCTGGTGTGTACTCATGTCAATAAATTCGCTTTTAATTTAAAAAGAACCCGCTCAAATTTAAAGTATACAAAATATTATGTACAAAATTGATATATAGGAAGTGAAATAAGTAGTATCATGGAAGAAGAAGAAGAAAATGAAGCAATTCGGAGCAAAATACAAAGTTTCATTCAGTAATTCAATTTTTGCTCTTCTTCCAACATGTTTTTTATCCAGTTATCTATCTATTCACCTTCAGAGTATTCATTCATTCATTCATTGATTCGAGTTATATAGACAGAAAACCACCGTATGAAGCGAATACATGAAAGGTGCCCACATTAGCCCTCCAACCAGTATGTTTTTGCATATACATATATTTAGAGAGAGAGAGAGAGATGGAAAGAGAGAAAAATGAACAGGAGACGTGTTAAACAAAGAACAGAAAGGCGGTGGTTATTTGGTCATTTTGGTGATAAAACGAGAAGAAGAAGAAGAAGGCGAAGAGCAAATAAACTGATGACAACAACATGCCGGATTTAAAATACGGAGAGACACAGAGAGAAAGAGTGGAATAATGCTCAAACAGCCTGTCAACAAAGTCTTCACAATATATGCTTGTCTTTCATTATGAAAAATTCAGTTATCTTTCTGATTTTATAAATACGCTTGCATTGGATTTACTTTCATCCACAGAAGAAGGAGAAAAAAAGTTTATATTATAGTAACTGAAAAGATTACATGGAAACCGAATGGTAAACGTATAAAGAAATCGTTCTGGAGAAAAGGTGTACCACTCTAATATTATTATTATTATCATTGTAGATAAGAATCAGTGATTAGGATTTCTCCTGGATATACACACTGAAGTTATGTTATGCGTGCGTGCGTCAAGACGTGCAAGTTACTCATTCCCACTTGTTAGATTTCTTTTTCTTTTTGGCGTTGTTATCGATTTAGTTAAATGGTTGAAAGAGTTTTTGTAAACGAATTGACTGGCATGAATAAAGGTCTTCCAAGCGATCGAGATGTGGGCATAATTGGATTCGAAATCGATGAAGCAATAGAAGAACACATTGGTAGCGATGACGGTGATAGTGATGGTGACGATGAGAGGATCACCGATGACTGAGAAACAATTGAAGCTGGATAACAACAAGTAGAAGGAGTTATTTCCATGGGTTCAGTAAAAGTCATTGAATTTATTGATTTATACTGATTATTATTATTATTTGGTTGGATGCCGTAGATGATTTCATTTTGAGTTTCAGGCCATGAATTAGTAGTATTTACAGACTCTGTACTTCCCATGGATGAGGACACAGCCAAAATATTATTTGGTGATAGGGCAAACACATTATTGAATGTATTTAATGGTGCAGACTTCAAGCTACCGTTTGATGCCGCCAGATTGTTTATTTGAAAGATAAGATTCTGAGAGTTGTATAGTTCTAGTTGTGTTTTAAACAAATTCATAACTGATTCACACTCAGAAACTGGATGTTTCTGTTTTAAGTGTAGCATAAATTCACTAGGCTGAATAAAAGCTTCTCCATCTAAGCATAAAGGGCAAAATATCTGAGTTGGGAAGATAGATGCAGTGGATTTAATCGGTGGTGTAAAAAGCTTGCCACCATTTGTAAGCGAATCATTCTTCTGATTTTCTGAGATGTATTGAACTTCATTATTCATAGGAGAAAGGATACTGATATCATTCACACGGAGGGCAGTATTAGAAATAGAAGAAGAAGAAGAGTCCTCTCCTAGAAATTTACTAACTGCATTACGTTGTTTCATTGACCGTTGTTTCGCCCTTCGCCGCATTTCTTTTTGTCGATGGTGTAAGTTGTATGATTTTGTCACAATGTTCACAGAATGACGAGGAGTAATAATTGCCCTATCGGCTTGACACTCCGATATCTCTGATTCATTTTTTGACCAGTTCACTTTTCGCTCACAACGTTTATCCTGAAAAATTATTAAAAAATAATAACAATAATAAACATAGTTATGAGTGGTCTAAGAGTAAGCAAAAAGACTAACGTTGGTTTCTGTTACAAATGAAGTTCACCGCTGAACACAGAAGTCTCCAGTGGGATCACCACTGGGTCCCCTGTTAGCTGTTTGTTTCTCAACTGAGTCAAACTGTCGGCCATTTCGACATTTGTGCGTCGGTGGCACAGTGGTTAGGACTCTCGCCGATCATGCACATGGTCCGGAGTTCGATCCTCTGCTGACTCACACCTGATATCTATGGTCGGCCTGCAAAATTTGGGCTACCGATATCACATGCTGGAAATTCCATACCTGTACCAAAACATAAGCTGTGGAATCAAGCTGTAATCAAAAAAATAAATAACATTTATAAAAGATATTCAGACGACACTTTCGTCATCTGCGATAATAATGTAATTCTTGATGATGTCTTGTTTGCTTTCAACATCTGCCATCCTTCTTTACAATTCACCATAGAAAAGAAATCTGAATTAAGTATTCCGTTTCTTGATGTGTACCTTGGTAAACGTAATGACGTATGTCTCAAAAGATATATTCACCGGAAACGTACATGGAACGGGTGCCTATTTCCGGGGGAAGGAACCTAATTCATTCACTCTGTTTTAGGATAAGGAAAATTTGTAGTTCTGATTGCGTTGACTCAGAACTTGAATTCTTAAAAGCCACGCTAGCAGAAAACAGTTACCCTAACCGATTTATTGACAGCAACATGAGAGATAAGCAGTCGAAACTAACTGGTCACAAACTCAGTTCCAAAGAAAACCTTATTCATGAACTTGGAATTCAAAGGTGATAAAGCTTCAGATATGCACAAAAATCGTCTCTCTAAAGCAGTAAGACGCTTTTTGCAGCAAAATTACATATGACGTTCACTAGCCGCAAGTTGTTCTCTACCTCTTTAAAGGATAAGCTCCCCTTGCCGCCTCTATGTGCATCTATCAGTTCAGCTGCTCTTGCGGAGCAAGGTATATTGATCGTAGTCAGAGGGCGCTTTCCACACGGATACGATAATATATTCCAGCATGGTTTTACAAGGGATAAAGGAAGTGTGTGCGAAGCTTTATTCTTGAACACCTGATCGACTTCTATCACATGGTCAACCCTGACCATGGTTTTATGATCATATATAGAATCCATGCTAAATTCCCGCGTTTTCTTCGTTACAGACTTCTAAAGACAGCGGAGGCCTTGGCAATTCATGACTTTAAGCCAACCAGACCTTTGTGTACAAAAGAAGTACGTACAATCCCTAGTTCTGCCTTGGCCGTATAGGGACAGATATTTATTCATCTTGTTTATTTAGTTATTCTATGTACTTTTCCTTTATTACTACGATCATTATTATTATCACTTCTATTATTACTATTCTCACCCTGAATTGTTTCCACTTGTCATTCTAAACCCAAAATTATTAATTTTTAAATTTTTTATTTTTACAATATTGAATTCTAATCTTTAATTATATGTAACGCCCTGAAATTCGGCAACTTTTATTGTGTTAAATAAAGCGGGACTTTGCAAACTGAAAAATTCCTGTCTCCATACTAACCGACAGAATTTCTCATAGAATATAAAACAATCCCTTCCTTCTCTGAGCCAGGCAGCTTAATTGTGACACTTTCATTGTCCACCTAGACAACATCTTCAACAATCCAGCGAAAAAAATACACGCACACACAGTGATTACAAGCAAACATCGACAGAAAAAATTTTTTTTAATTAGTATTCGTTTGTGCTGTTGATAATTAGCTTAGCGATTTTATTAACCCATAAATTTTTTCACTTTGAAATTTTTCACACACAACTTCCAGTGGAAGGTTATTCACATGCATTGTTGTCCACGTGAGGATATTTACACAGAATAGACAAAAACAAAACTGTATTCGTGTAAACATTATTTTAGTAAACAGAAATATTTTATGTAAATGCTTAACAAAATAATTGATATAAGTGTAAAACTTGGGCACTGGGGTAGACTATGACACCTTATAGATAAGATTTTATTTTGATAAACTGTCACACAGTGTTGTTCTACAGTAATATTTACAGATGACCACGTTTCGAACACTCTACCACAGTGTCCAAGTTTTATACTTATATAAACTATTTATTATCCTGTGATTTGACAGGTAATAATGTCTCCCATATCTCTGATATTTGCTTTGAGTCAGTCTTTCTCTCCATCTACCTTTATTACTTTCTAGGATTTTGGATATGTCCCACCCACCTTATTGTACTGTTGTGCGGTGTAATTGCTGAGCTTTTTTCTAAATTACTCATCTTCTCGGGGTCAACCATTCTTACCTTAGCTAAATTCTTATGTTCCGACAATCTGACTACTCCTGATCTACTGGTTTGACCAACCTATGTAGTTGACTTAACTCAGAGACATTGCAAAATATTCTGTTGATTTAGATTATTTTGTTTAATTGAGTCCACCGACAGGGTTCTCCAACCTATAGAGCTTATCTCTGAGTGAGTTTGTAGGTTTGTAGGCCACCCTAATTCCTGACTTATTGAGAATCTTTATATGGTATAAAAGTAGATGCCTTATATTATCTCTTATTTATGTTATCACTACTAATTTCAACATTATTATTATTTGGCTTTCGGCCTTTTTCGATCTTCCTGATGAATTTTATAGGATAGTTGGTTATTTAACACCAACGCCTCTTCTATCTGTCTCACTTCATTGTTTACGTCATTTCTTCTACCACTTAGTGCTATTGCTGGGTTTGTTAAACACTTAACTAAGCCTGCCTTTACAGATAACAGATGAGATGAATTAAAGCCTGAATATCTATTAGCAGAATGCGTTGGCTTTTTATAAACGCTAGTGTACAGTCTAACTTCTTCTGTGCAAATACTAGAGGTATAGAAGATATTATTATCACCAGTCAAATCAGAGGACAACAAATAATGCTAAAATGTATTTTTCAATTCAAATCATAGCATTTTAACAAGTTACATATTTTAACTATAAAAACACTCGTCTTATTTCCCATCTGATTGTATTCTATTGATAACACTAATATTGTTTCCAAAGGTACTTTATTTTATACTGAATTTTATTCAAATACCTAATCATCAATCTTTACTCATGTATATAAATGAAGCAAGAAAATTGTGTGAGTAGTGCCTTGATGTGATCATGAGCAATAATTTGTGCTTGAAACGTGGTCATCAGTTAATATTACTGTATAACAACACTGTGTGATTTATCAAAATAAAATCTTATCCATAATGGAGCTATACTCTACCACAGTGCACAAGTTCTATTCTTATATCAAAGAGCAGAGAAAATTCAGAATTTTAAACCGCCCCAATGTTAACACGCGTTTTGAGAAGAAAAAATTTTGATTCTGTGGTCCTGATTTCGAAACTTCCTGCAATCGTACACTGCTGGAGTATTCATAAAGATAAGTGAAAAAGTAAAAACCTGCTACTTTTCGCCCACTGTTAACTATACCAGTGCAGTGGATTCCGACTACCTGTGAAAAAAAGAAATCTGTCTCATAAAAATTAGCTAGTCATTTCACAGGTGATTTGTATCATTCGTATGGTAATTCAACCTTTGGATGGCTTTATTGTAAACACGGTGTATATATGTGTGTATTTATGCATGCATACACACAAAATTAGGTAACTACGTGTTTTAAGATTAACATTCACGTCAACAATAATATCACATGACTGACGGAATATAAAATGCGCCTAATGCAATTACAGGATAGAGATAAAATAGTCAAATTAAGCGGTCACCGCAACTGGTCCCCTCCTATTCGTTCTAATTACTTTTATCAAACTGGTCCTTTGTTCAATTGTTTTGCACCTTTCATGTGCTTTTGTAATTTCCCGTCATCTGGATCTGTCTGGTGACTCTATAACTTCAGATTCCATGGGCCTCAGTGTTTTAAGACATCTTGTCCCCTAGTGTGCTTAACACAGATAGATGGTAGAGTCTAACGTGTCAGAGTCCACTAAAGACTTGGGACCGTTCCACGACAAGTATGCTGGATTCTGCATAGTCTACTCAAGGCTCTAGTATTCAGGAGAACAGATATCACTTTACCTGAAGCTTAGCTGCAATATTTCAAGTGTTATTAGGTGTGGATAAAAAAAATGCATCTTTCCCATTTTTTGTTTTTAAGGAAAACTTTATCCGCATCATATAGATGATATCCTAAATTGTGGTAGACTGGATTATGCGTCAGACTGTGAATGGGGATTGAGAAGATAGGAATACGTTGGACCACCGATAAGAAGACTCTAGAAGATCTAGATTTAGCAAGTGGATTATTTATGTTTAGTGTCACACAAACTCCAAGACTTGCAGGCGAAAACCAGCGAACTGGCTGAAGAGGCTGGCTGGCAGCGAAGACAGGGCTGCAGGTGAACACAGAGAAGACGAAAGTGATGAAGATAACCAACCAACCATCACTAATCACCATCAACGGAAGAGAGTTAATAGAAGTTACCTCCTTCCCTTATCTGACTGGCTAGGAAGCATCGTTCCAACTACAGGAATTCAGAACGCACGGAAATGTCAAAACCAGTCAGCCAGAATTGGAAAGGCAAGATACACACGCCTTCATCAACCTGAAACCAGTTTCGAAATCTCCTCCACTACACTGCACTCTACCTCAATATAAACAACAAGATTAGGATTCAATTCAACACCAGTGTGAAGGCGGTCAGTCCTTCTATACGAGTCAAAAACTTGGTGTAAGAGTCAAAGAGAAGCATTTCCAACAAGTTACAGACTTTAATCAACAACCACCTTCTCTGAATCTTTGTTGAAGATCAAATGACCAGAAAGAATCAGCAACATGAAACTTTGGCTGCCTGTGAACAAACCAACAGGCAAGAGCTGATCACTCAACAAATATGTAGGAGAAAATGGAGATAAACTGGTTACACGTTGAGGAGGCTGTCGATTGACACCACGTGCAATGCAGGCCATAACTCGAATGGAATCTGAATAGTAAGCGACAAGTTAGTCGTCGGTGTGAGGGTGACTTGGGTGAGATCGTGTGGCAAGGAGGAGGCGAGAGATTATGGGCAATCATGGGGTCAGCCAGTTGAAGACGACAGGAGAAAATAGAAGAAAGTGGAGATGTGTTGTTGAAGCTCTATGTTCTAGTCGGAACCCTGAGAGGATAGTAATAGTATATATAATGCAGAAGGAACTAGAATGACAAATTAATATTTTCAAATAATTCATATAGATTAATTTAAGAGCATTGCGTAATACACCAGTTTATTCCACTGTATTTTCACCTTATAGAAAAGACAGTTACTCATGGTATTGAAAAAGAACTAAATTTCTACTACTAATAATAATGGTAACAATAATAGCCTTTACTCCGAACAGAACTTTTGGTACAAATATGGAATTCCCCCAGCATGTAGTTCAGTTTTTTTTTGCGTCTAATTTTCTCTTCACAGGGGTAATATGAATACAAAATTAAGTAAAAATATTAACCACAATAAAATAATGAAAGAAAGAATAAGAAGGGCCATTTACTCAATGTTTCTCAGTAGGCTGGTGGTGTCCTGCCTTACACTTTTCTCATTACATAAAATGTTTGCCTGACAAATAAGGTATTGTAGAGTTTTTGTATTCAGTCGTCCGAACATGCAGTCCTCTTTAGTTGCTTCTGGTTCTACCTGATAAGATACAAGAAGAGTTCAGAGTGTGACAGGATAATATTTGCTAATTTCTTGCAGGAATCCAAGTGTCTGTCTACAGTAGTATTAAAGAATTTGTTTAGCGACAGCCCACTCGCTCTAATGATAGCTTTAATTGCCCTTTGGAATATAACGAGGTCTTTCGTATGCACCCCAGAAAAGATTAAATGCCGTGGAACAATAAAAAAGAATCGGTAAAATACAAGAATCAGCAAACTTATAAAATTGAGACTGAGTGATACCAGATCATCCTAACTTCCTTACACTGAACGTCAAATGATATATCTTTGTGGAAACTAACATGATGTGGAAAAACCGGGAAATATCCGAGGAAATACACAGTCGAAGGTACTAAACATTCGATTTAGTTTCAACTTCAATGATCTCCACAATAAAAGAATCATGGGAAAGAACCAGTTCAATTAAGTTATGTTTGTGTCTCAAATCTAACATTTGGAGGGGTTAACCTGAAGACCATTTGACGAGGGCCATTGACTAAATTCTGATAAAAAATTGATTTGTTTTCGAACCGCCTGACTGAGAGGCAGCCACTGGCATAGAAACATTCAGGTGCATCATCAGCATACTTAACAAAATTGGCTTCATCAGAATGGGGAAAGTCATATAAGAAGAAAGAAAACAGAAAAGGTGAAAGAACAACTCCCTGAGGAACACCAGGTAGAGTAAGTGATGCAGTGTACTGCTTCCTATAGGAAAAATATAATTGCAACCACTCGGTGATGCAGCACTGTGCTTGTGAAGCAGCAAGCCTGTTTAACAAAAGACGCCTAGGTACGGAGCCAAAGGCAAAGGTGTAATCAAGGAAGGCAGGCACACCGAACATATTTGGCACCTCAGTTAGTGAATTCTTGAGTAATAAATAGCAATGAATTTAAATAGAAATACCGAATGGAATGAGACTGGCATACGATGATGAGTACGCGTTAATAAAGAATGCCTAATTATACACTAGTTGTGCGTTGGTGGCATAGCGATTAGGACGCTCGCCGACCATGCACATGGTCCGGGGTTCGATTCCCAGCCACCGACACACTCCTTTACCTCGCTAAGCCAGAAATAAAAGCTGATGAAGAGGAAAGGTTGAGCATGAGGCTAGCAACCCCATCCAGTAAAAATAAACACTTCTACAGTAACTTCAAGCCACTACCATGAGGCCCAATGTTCCACTGGGAACGTGAAGGAAAAAACGAAAATTCTACACAAAGAAGCATCGATTTAGCGTCTTTTTAGGCTGTCTTAAATAATTCTTTTCCCTACATAACTTTCACCTATGTACACTTTGCGCTGTACATCATAAAACTAGCTGTTCAGTCGAAAAATAAGTAATCAGAAAGAAGTACGAAGCGGCAAAAAAGAAAAATGAATTTCACAATTACAAAGACAATAAACATTAACATATGTGTTCTGTGTTTATCCGTTAATGAGTTTATTTTTCCAATATTACCACCTAATATATAATATATACATACTGTATGAAATTTTGATGCATTCAAATAAATTTTACATATATATGTAAAGTAATGTAATGGTATACAAACTCACAAGGATAGTTTTACGCTTTGTAAAAAATTTTCCTCTGACATCTTGAATATGCTTTCTTTTCATCTGTAAGCATAATAAGCGTTTATTCAATTTGTAATGTATCATTTTACGTGCACGATTAATGTGATAAGAAATGAAACAGTAATTTTTAAAGTATTTCTTTGCATGTCCTCGTTTCATGCAATCCATTGGGTTGTTTTTTGTCATTGTTTCTTGTTGATTGGAAGCAGTACAACTATTACGAGTTGTAGTCATTGCTATTGTTGTCGTTGTTGTTGTTGTTGGTGGTGGTGTTACTGCTGCTTCCGTTGTTGTTGTTGTTGCTGTTGCACAATAACTGCCCTGTTCATCGAACTTATTCAAATTATCTTCTGTTACTTTTAAACTCAAGTTTAATGGATCCTGTAAAGTAGGGGGGAGGGGGGAAGGACGAGTGAAAAACAGCACCAAAAAGAAAGAAACATTAAAAGGCAGAAGATAGGAAAGCCGACTGTTAATCTCATTATTGCCCTTTAATTGTTAGTTTTACTTCCTCAGGAAAAGAGAAGTATGTTCCTATGACACAATTGCCTATGTTATCTTTAATTGTGATTTATATATACCTCTCTCTTGTAAACACCAGTGGGTTGAAGATTTCGCTCTCCGGGTAGAAACAAGTGCTTTTCATCATCACAGTGAGACACAGTGAAAAGTGATCAAAAGATATCATTCATTTTATATGAAATTCCAGTAGAGATGCTTCTGAAAACTCTTAGGTGCTGAGTGAAACAAGCTCACTTTCTAACTGCCCTAACTGAATGCAAAATTCAAATTTTCTGTCTATGGTCAACTATAGGCAACGAGCATAGGTGAAGTTCAGCTGTTGACACAATGGTGGTAATTGTTTCAAGTTTAATAACTCAGTTCAACAATAATTTCATGTGGGATTCAGCTTGAAAAGACAAGCTGACAGGATTTATATGAGGAGACCAATTCTTGAATACCAATGAGGCGCTTTCTAGCGACCGGCCCTATTCAGGTAGGTAGTTACCTGGTTCCAAGTGACAGTTGGAAATCGTGTCCAGTGAGTGAGGTAAAACAGGTCGGGCGTGAGGACAAATGACCTCAGAAGACATTGGCTAGCGGTCACGCTATGTCATGACATGAATTGCCAGAAGTTGGAATTCATGCGTTGGCCATTGGATCGCTTCTTAGTGGCGTAATGGTTTACGATCTAGCTCGCCTTGAAGGTCCTGCGTTCCAATCGCGATGGTGGGTGCGAACTGCTGAAGAGCCGATCTCCCACTAGGACAACGGAAACAGCTGTCCAGTACTGCCAGCTGGTTTTCCAGTGGTTCTCTAACCGACGGTAACTCATCAGGAAATCCTGTAACCGATCAATCGAATCCCTACAAACCAATACTTGAAAATAATAAGTCAGTTGACGGAATGAGTGTCACTATCTACTTTTAGCAACTGTAATTTTTGTGCTACTAATGAGATCTCTACTATATTACTTTCCATGTCGATAGTAGTACAATACTTACCTTGTCCTCTTCGTTTTGCATTTCTGAATCAGTAGTACATAAAGTCAAATCACTTGTCGCCAACTTTCCAGTAATTTCTGTTTGTGATGAATATGAATGGATATCCGAATTCGGCAGGAGTGGGAATGGAATTATGCTTGGATAGCTAAGTGCTGTATACGATCCTATAGAAGATGATTGTTTAGGAAAGCCATATCCAAGCCAAGATAAATTTGGAGTAACAGTCGGCTGGAATGTTAGAGGAAGTGAGGAACCATTTATTCCTGGAATTTCATTGCATTCAGATAGACATACTGGAGGTGAATTTTCTGAAGGATTGTCAATAATAACTGGTTTCTGTTCTGAGTTGTGAGTTTGACATTCCTGTAAAGATGATGGCGCACTTTTCAAAGATTGTTGTGATTCACACGTGGTCGTCAGCACTGGATGTAAGCTCGATGTTTGAATTAAATTAGAACAGTTAATAAAATCGTTCTCGTCTATCTGAGGGGAATCCCTGACACACTGGTTAGAAGCCTTACGGAAAGATGTGTGTATATGCGATTTTAGGCCAGAAGTTGACTTTCCAACTCCGGGTCGATAATTCTCCAAAGAACCAAGAGTTAAGTCTGTTATCCCGTGTTTGTTGGCTTTATGAGTTCTCAAAAAATATTTATTACATATCCATTTATTGCATATATCACATAGGACACGCATCTGATTAGGTGATTTTCGTGGTACACCTGTATGACCAAGGGAACTTGAAGCAACTCCCGTTGAATTTGTCGGTGAAATTGCACAGCTAGGTTGATTTAATGTAGAATAGTTACTTGAATCACTAGTTGTGGATAAGTGAGGCAGAGGATTCCATGGTCGAGTACAATTAGTTGCATTACCTGCTACAACTGGATTAAAACCTGGGAGACCAGAAAAGACAGCAGCTGCAGAAGCAATTGACGGCTGACTCTTAGAGTCAGCATTACCACACACAGATGACTGAGTGTGGTTCACTCCTGAATCCAAATTATCACTCATTGCTTCTTCTGCAGTTTTTGTTAGATTAAGTGGGAAAAATGGCACCAAATTTGTCGTAGACACAAGGGGATTGGATGTAAGAAAGTTGGAAGGGAGCTGAGATTCTGTAGTAGGCATTTCAATTTTACAATCACTGCTCAATGCTGTACACACTTGTAGTCCATCATCTGAGGTTTTCATAGACGGCGTTCCCGAAGATATGACTGACTGAGTGGATACTGACGGAATCTCCGTTTCTGTAATTAAATAGGTTTTGTTTTTTTAAAAAAACAAATGGGTAAATTTAGTAAATCAGGTAGAAATTATTTTTTAAAATAACATTTTATCTTGATGAACACTATTCTTCATTGTTTCACCTGAACACGCAAACCAGACCTTTTCACCTGTTACTGCTCTCCACCACCAGATGTCAAGGTTAAATAAGAAAAGAGTGCTAAGAAACCTGCTTGAAATGAATATACGAATGATATTCATACATGATTGAATATCTTCATTGTTTTATTTGAGCATTAAACTTGAAGGCTTACTGGTAATACCACTAGCATTAGAAGTGATAAGAATTCTCCTATGGGACAGATAGATAGATAGACTACAATAATAAAAATACAACTATAATATCTCAGGCAATGACCCCGCCCAGAGCAGTGATCTCGATCAAATAGATGGTAAAAATAAAGAAAAACACAACAACAAGACAGAATAATGTCATAGCAATTCAAATTATGAGTAGCACTCCTACCCACAGGTAGGATTGTGATCATGATGTGACATGTGTGTGTGTGTGTGCGTAAGCATATTCAACTGTCGTTGTCGCTGATTTTGCTTTTTTGTAACAATTTTCTTTAACTTTAAGTTCACACACGACATTCATTCATCTTGACATTGGTGGAATAAATGAAGTAGTATATAAGAGCGCAGAAATATATATTTTTTTCATTTACGGAAAGAGATGCCTACTGTCATTTTAACTTACGGGTAGTTATGTAGGAATTTTGAAAGAGAAAAAATAAAAATTAGTAATTAGTAATAAAGGTGTTCATTTCTGCGGAAAATAACCATTTTATTTATTTGTCTGTTTCGTGGTGGAATTCCTGCGTACTGTGTTCAAGAATTTCAACTATAATCTAACAGTTTAACACGGAATACACTCACTGATCACACTGAACAGTCTTCTTCGTCTTCTTATTTCACAACATAAACCGTTTCTAAGGGGGTATTTATTTTCACGCAAAGCCTATCAGATATACTATTATACCTCAACTGAAAGATGAAGTACCTAGACTAGCTAGCCACTTCGAATTGTATCTACCAATTCAATCACACTTGGGGGGGGGGAGTGAGTTATATTGACCGTTGCTCTAGGAATCTGATTTTTCGTGCTCGCTCGAGAACACCTCCCACTATGGCTAAGTAAAGGTGTAGTTAAAACCACTAACAGTTCGATATTGGACCATCTGATACAAACTGGCCGCAAAGCCAGCTAGCATTGAAGAATCCTTCTCCATCATCTACAGGGGCCTAATAAATTGCCAAAATCATCGAAGCTCCAAACAACAGAGGCTATTGCAATTCGCCTCAAACAACCAGTTCTGTGTGTTCAGAAGAAGCAAGTCCAGCCCCTGCTACTGCCCTCGCCGGCCTTCAGTAGAAACTATAAATTCATGAAATTGTAATATTATCTTTCCTAATTTTTCTGAAATTCAGTTTATTGTTATGTTGACGCTATTGATGCTATCTATCGATATAATTGATTCGATGTCATTTGCAGAGCATTAATGTTGTTCATAACACTTATTCACTCATTCACCATAATGTATGTATAACTGTAGAACCTGATAATGAAGGGGTCATAGATAAGAGTATTCTTCCTTGAGTATCCGCTGTTTTGAGAATTTTAATGGGCATTTTTAATCACTTAATAAAATTTTAGTTAGTGTTAGTTTATACGGATATCTTATGGGCGTCTGGATTGATCATGGATTAGTGTCAGTTAAAGGACCATTAAAATTGTTTATTCCCAGTCTGGAACTCTTCATCAGTGACATCTGATGCCTAGTAGTGATTAACCACAGGACGAGGTTGCCTACAATTCTGGTGAGGAGCCACAACCAGTGAGATTCACCACCAGGTCGTATGTGAAGATCAATACTCACCGATGACATTAGCTGCCGTTGGCGCCAAAAATAGTCGCGAAATGACACAAAAATTAGAATCTACCGCCAATTGGCTGAATGGTCTACGAGCCCTGGGGTCGATCCCTGGTGGGGTTATCGCTGAATATATAGATAGTTAAAGGGTCCCAGACTAGGATAAAATGGCTCTCCAGTATTCACTGATTTTCAGTGATTGTCTAACTGAAATCAACTCGCTATCCTACTTGACAATGTCAGTGTCTTTTTTCCGGACATAGAGTATATCTTTCTGACTGATAAGTAGACATTCAAGTGTTGGTTTGTAGGGATTTGGTTGATTGGTTACAGGATTTCATCATGAGCTGACACCGACTGGTTAGAAAACCATTGGAAAACCAGCTCGGAGTACTAGACAGCTATTTCGTCATAGTTTCGGACTCTTCGGCAGTATGCACCCATGGGATTCAAACCAAGGACCTTCTGGTTACAAGGTGAGCTAGCTGGTAGACCATTAAGCCACAGGGACCCGATCCAATGGCCACTCCATGAATTCTAACTTCTGCTAATTCACTATATAGCGCAACCGCTAGCCAATGTCTTCTGTGAGAATTTGTCGTCACACCCGACCTGCTGTGAGTAGACATTTGAGTTCTCGTCTCTCATTAGTTACCCTGCAGTTAAATTTCTTTTAGGCAGGATTTCAGTGTACAGTAAAAACATTTCTTTTGTACTAGCACATTCTATGTTTACAGACATTTTGGTTAGGGACAAATCACAGTTTTAGCCTGCAAATTTCAAACAGTCCCACTTGTTAACTGTTTTTTTTCTTCTAACGTGTCACTTCACAACACTTAATTAAAACTTTGAAGAAAGTTTTTTATCGCTATTCTCATTACTATAACTATTATTATTATTGTTATTGTTATTATTTTTCTTAGGGCCTGTATTTTTTCTCTTTACATCAGTGGAACTGTAACGATGACGATGATGATGATGATGCCGATAGATTGAAGGCGATTGAACACTTCTCACTTGAACAAGTAAACAAGGCATAAATAAATATTATAATAATAAGGCATAATAATAAATAAGAAGAGTGAAAAGTGTTTCAAATCATTTACACCTGATTGCGTGCATATTTAGTCAACCTTATCATTAAAAATGAGAAATAATCATAAGAATAAGAATAACAGTAATAATTAAATATCCACATTCAATTATTTTCTTTCTTTATTTATTTTTCTATTTATTTATTCTTTTTTCTATTTCAGCTTGACAATGTAATTTTTTCTAGTGAAGTGAAATTTTGCTTTGCATGCTTGTTTGAACTAGACGAAGCACCCTCTCACTCACTCACTCACTCACTCACTTAGTCAATCCCACACAATTGAAACAATGTGTGTGTGAAGGTGTACATAGACAAGGTAAAACTATATAAGCATATTTTAATTCCTACAACAAAATATTATCAGTGTCAGCTTACTTACTTACTTACTTACTTACTTACTTACTTTACATTGGCCGAAAAGATTTTTCCACACATTCTCATTTTTTTCTTTCAGTGTTAAACTTTTATAATTCGACTGTGTAATAATAGCATAGGCATACATGTAAGGCGTCTTGGTTATTGAGTTCTATTCAACAGACTTCACCAGCTTGTGCATGCATCATGCCTGCGTTCACAGACTTACACGCATACAGACATTCCTGGAAATATTTCGATACAGTCACAGTGTATTAATATAAAATGCCTTATAAATCTATTTCCACTGTTATTATTATTGTTATTGAATTTAGATGTCACGGTTTGTTAATTTGGACAAAGGTGTAGAATTTGCCTACATGCATTATTATTATCATTATTATACATAATCACTGGAGCTTGCTTTTCGCCACAGCAGTATTAAGCTGTAAAAATGAATATATATATATATATATATATATATATATATATATATATATATATATATATATGTACATATGGGTGCATGCTTTTCCTCTTTAATGCTCAGCATCAGTTGCCGTGTGTTTCAGCCTTTCCTATCCAATGTCTTACCCGCCTATTTTTAATACTGTGACTATTATTAGTAGTAGTATTACTGTTATTACTATTATTACAAATTCAATGCCATAATAATCTTGTTGCTATTGTCCACACAAATCTACTCTCGAAACTAATCTGCATATTTGTTCTCTTTTCACACTCAAATCATTCAACCGATGTTTGTTTTAAAAAAGAAAAGCAAAACAATATATATATATATATATATTCCAACGAATAATTCTCGTTTTCTTTCCCCCCCTTCACATTTGTTAAACTTAGCGCCTTTTCAACGCTTCTTATAATGATTAGGTGTCAGTCAGCCTGCTCATAGTATTATTTATCGTTATGCTTGTTAAGTTTAAGAGTTCAATTAATTTTGTTTCAAAGTTCAATTTATTTTGCGTGATTGTGAATTAATTTATTTATTTTTCTTTATTTTATTCAACTTATCAACATACATATATGTATATATACATAATTTGTAGGCGTTCTCTTCTCTTTAGTCTCTCTGCCTCGCTGCCTCTCTCTCTCTCTCAGCTTGTTCCCACCTATTCTACTTTCCCCCACTAGATTTCTTCAACTTTCTTCTTCGCCTCCTTCATTATAATTCTCCTTCTCCAAAAGAGAATAACGCAGACACACTTTTGTTGTTCTTATTGTTGTTTTTTTTTCACCTATTTTATTTAGATTTATCAGAAAGCCAGGAGAAGAAAGAAGGGGCGAAATGCTGACAACAAAATATAATTATAGGAGAATGGAAAGAAAATTTGAACAGAAAGCCAGTAACAATAATAATAATAATAATAACAATAATGCGAAAGATATTGACGACATCGATAAATAATGAAAGAGGCACACTGAATCCTTGATTTAAGTAGGTAGGCATGATCACTTTTTTTTAAGCTGATGAAAAAACAACAAGCTCTACCTATTTTTTTCCCTTTCTGGCCTGTTCCTCTGCTTGATTTTTCAGATTTTTTTTATAGACGCAAAAATATGCAGCAGACATACATCCATTCCCAGTACTTTGACGTAATTAAAGAGCGGTTAAAATCGAGAC